CTTTTTTTTTTTTTTTTTTTTTTTTTTTTTTTTTTTTTTTTTTTTTTCGAGTATTCTCAGGGCATACTCACACACAGTAAGCAAAATTCCAAAATCTGCAATTTTGCTTCTGCTATTTTGAGAAAATTAAGTGTGCCGCAGACTCACACACGGTGGCCCTTTTGAATGAGACATGGCCGAGACTTTATGAAAATTGCTCCATCTGCTATCTGAGTGGTCACACAGCTGATAGCAGATGGTAACCTGTTTTCCTTCTGGAAAAAAAAAAAAAAAAAAAAAAAAAAAAAGAGGCGGGAGGGCGGATTATAAAAAGACAGTAGGCGGTAAAGGAAAAGACCAGCAGGATGGAGAAGACGACAATGAACAGCAACCAAGAAACAACCAGGCAAGAGCAATGGAGTTCGAATCCTGGTGAAACTAGACGACCGAAATTGAATGGCCCGGGGCCATATGCCAGGGATAATAGCGAATAATACCAAGAGGCCTAGCTCAGTCCTGGGATGCTGGACCCGCTTTCCGGCAGGTGTTGCTCCCCACCAATAGATTGGAGCACTGGGTGGTCTACTAGGAGGGGCTGCTCGTATCAACCCCCCTAGTAGGACAGGTGGTTAAAAAAAGAAAAAAAAGAAAAGAAAAAAAAAGAACAGTCGGTAAACCCATCAACCACTGAAGTACAGACCCAAGTTCGAATCCAGGTGAAACTAGATAAATGAAATCGAATGACCTGTGGCCAGTCAGTTCGACAACAATATCTCAACGCCGTCACCTTTTTTTTTTAACTAAATATAATATAATATAAAAAGGAAAGGCAGGTAATCAATCGCCTACTCACAGCCCGAGTAGAACTGTACGGAAGCATCAACGGTAGTTATGGATCCATACATCTGGGCCTAAGCCCTGCTCGTGCAAGCACGGAATCGAACCGGCGACCTTGGCCTCCAGAGCCAAGCCTCGCCAACTGGCCTAGCTCAGTTGGTACACCCCCGAGCTGTTACAGACAGACCCAAGTTCGAATCCAGGTGGAACCAGATGAGTGAGAATGACTCTGAATTAACCTGGGCCCGGTCAACTCGAAGATGACATCCCCCTTCTTTTCAAAAAGAGAACCCTACAGAGTCGTACAGACTGTTGGGGGCAGCGAAACACTCCAATGAATGTCTCTCCCCGAACACAACGCACCCTCATTTTATCTGTACCGAGTCGGAAAGATGGCTTGTATACATTCATTATCAGGGTGCGCTGTGCGTTGTGTTCGGGGGAGGACAGTAGGCACAGGCATCCCGAACTCAGCAGCACTCTCCATACAAACGCGCACTGACTATTTGGCACATCTTGAAGGTACTCAACTTAGTGGGGGGGAAACACGGGAAAAAAGGTTGAACCACACAGCAAGTGGAGAGCAACACAACGCAAACACTTGGAAGAAGGAGAAAGGAAAAATTTAGAGATAATCTGTTTTTAACGTTTAAGTTCTTTAAGTCCTTTTTTTTCTTTTTTTTTTCCTGGTGTGTGTGTGTGTGTGTGTCAGTTGTATTTACTAGAAACAACTCGGCAGACAAGAACGGTGACTACGATCATTTGAGCTGACCGGCCCTACCGTCTTCACCCGAATAGAACTCCCGATCATTACAGCGGTATTTGGCACAACTTTCAGCCCAGGTACGGCGATAATTACCAGGCGTTCTATTCGGGCCAAGACCGTAGGTAATTCCAATTTGCGGTATTTTACTCATCTGCTTCATCTGTTTCATCTGCTTCGATTGGAGTTCGAACTCAGGTCTGTATATTTCCACAATTCAGGTCAGGGGTGTACCAACTGAGCTACTAGGGTTCGAACTCAGGTCTGTATACTTCCACAATTCAGGTCAGGGGTGTACCAACTGAGCTACTAGGCCAGTTTCATCGGATTTATAGCTTATTAGTTTAAACTTAAAAAAAAAAGACGGTTTCATCGAACTTTCCCAGACTCATCAGGAGGTTGTTTCGACTGGATTGGTGGTTGGATATAGGGGAAGAATTGACATTTGCTTTGAGTGCCACACGCCTCTCTTCCCCCTAGATTGAAATTTTCCGTTGTGGTATGTCGGAGTCTAGGTTATGGGAGGTCGGCCTGATGTTGCTTGGTCCATGGGTTGTCCGATGATCACAGTTTGGGCTTTGGGGTGCACTCCATGGGCTAGGGGGGGCAGGGGGGGCAGGGGGGGCAGGGGGGGGGTTAAGGGGGTAGGATAGGGTAAATTTCAGGGTGCAGACATAGGCTTGACGGACGGAAGAGAGAGTTGTAACATGATGGGATATTGGGATCGGCATGATAGGTCTGAATGGCGGGATTAACGTGTAGGGTCTTGAACTCAGGGCATACTCACACTAGGACGTTTTTACATATTTTTTGATGTAATTGCGGCCAGATACATCTACGTCTGGTTGTGAATGCGGTCAGATACGTTTACGATGGTGCTAGTGTGTGATAACGGCCTCAGTCCTTCACCTTTCATCCTGCTAGGGGCCAGACCAATGGGGCGTCTCTAGGTCAGTCTGGGCACCATCGGGGGGGTCCGTAGAGCTTAGGCTGTCAGATGAAATCTGTTACTCGTGGCCCTACACACAGTTTGAGTAGGCTCTGCCCCCAAGCCTGCCTATGGACACCAATCCACGGGTATGAGTGGGTTAGGGGGTTGTGGACGGGGTGATGTCCGGTACTTGTGATTCCCGAGGTTGGACTTCAAGCTTAGGTACTTCAGGGGGGGTGGGTAGCCTTAAGGGAGCTTAGGTGCGTAGCCGTAGGTAATCTCCATAAGGAGGCATAGATGGATGAGGGAGAGGGAGGGGTTATCATACATAGGTAGAAGGGTGGGTGGGTACATCCCATCATAGCAGGCAGGACAGGGGGGGCTTGCCACCCTTGGAGTCTGCATGGTGATGGGATGCAGGGTATTCCTGTCGACTACTACCCGTAGCCGTCTCCGATAGGTTCGGGGTGTCCTGCCGTACACCTAGGGAACTAGTATTATTCGGGGTGTCCTGCCATACACCTAGGGGGACTAGTGTTAGGACCTCAGGTAGGAGTCGGCGCCTGTATAAGTGAACGATGGTCGCACGGCCTCAGGGCCTCAGGTAGGAGTCGAACGATGGTAGCACGGCCTCAGGGTCTCAGGTAGGAGTCGA